ATAAACCGCCCCCGAGAAGGGGACAGAATGGGCTGAGGTCAGGCGTGTGGAGCATGGGCCGCCTGCACCCAGGTCCCTGGTGACAGATTCTGAGCCATCCTGTCCCTCTAGGGCTATAAAGCAAAGGTCCAGGGGAACCCGGGTCAAGCTGAACCCTGACCGTCCCTTCCACAACGGGGTCAGCAGCCCATGGGCCCCTCCTGGGGCAGAGGCTGCTCCTACCCCTCTGCTGCCCCCCGGGGCTGCTCAGAAGGAGGCCGTGTGGGGACAGAGCCAGCGCTGAGGACCAGCGGGCGGCGGCTGGATCTAACAGGAGTGGTGAGAGCCGCCCAAGGAAGTTTCAGCGAGAGACGGGCTGACAAAGTCTCATTTTTACCCTATCTGTTTTGCAGACCACTGAATTCTAGGCCATGGGCCGGAGGCTCGAAACCCTCCTCTACAACGGACATCTCAGGGCGTGCTCACACACCTGGCAGAAAGCCTAGCTTGGTTCAAATGGTCAGAGGAGCATTTTATTTTAGTTTTTAGAAGATGTCATTTTTTTCGTAGAGTCGCCCAGGGTTGGTCTCCAACTCCTGGCCTCCAGCGATCCTCCCGCCTCGGCCTCCCCCCATGCGGGTATTTCAGGTGTGGGCCCAGCCAGGCTAGGCCGACCACTTCAGACTAGCTGTGTCTCGAGGGCACAGAGCGCCGCCTGCAGCTCAGAACTGCATCTCTGGGGGCTCCCCGATCCCCAAAGGTCGTGTTCGTGGGCGCACCCTGGGCGTTGGAGCAGCTTGGCTTCTGACACTGAGAAATGGGAAGACACGAGGGCCGCGCGCTGGGCCCGCCACCTCGGCCAGGGACACGGTGCCGGGGACGCCGGTCCCAGGCCTGACTCGGGGCCGGCTCAGCGGGGGCAGCCGGGAGGGGACGCTCGGGGCCGGCGGCTGCTTCTCCGGGTCGGCCTGGGCCCCACCGAGGCCGGGCGACTCCGGCGTCGGGCGTCCCGGTTCCTCTCCTGACGCTGCTCTACTTACAAGTTCAAGTGCTTGGGGACAGCTCGCAGCGCTCTTCCAAAAACAAACTTCTAAACCGCCTGGGCGGCGCGCGCCGGAAGCCGCCGCAGGTACCCGCCCGCCGCCTACCGGCGCGCCGCCGAGACGCCCCTCCCGGCCCGCGAGGTCGGCCCGGCGTCGCGCCCAGCTCGGACCCGAGGCAGGAGGCAGACCGCGTGGCCGCGGCGGTAGCAGGAGCTTCAGGCGCGGAAGCGTGCCGGGTCCCGGCCGGCGGGCGGGCGCAGGCGGTCCACCTCCGCCGCTGACCCGGGTGGGTGCGCCGGGCGCCCGCGGGGCCGGAGGTGACGCGCCTGAAGCGGCCGCGAGCTCCTGGCCACCCCGCGGGCGCCCGCTCCCAAAGTGCCGCGGCGCCTGGGCCGGACGCGCTGCAGAGACGGCGCCCCCACGGCCGGCGTTGGTACCTCCCGGGTTGTTCCACCGCGGCCGGGCGGCCGGGGGACGAAGTGTTGAGCCCCGCGCCCGCGGCCGGCAGTGGCATCCTCCGGACGGGGCCGATGGGGACCCGGCGCCCCCCCACGCGGCCGGCGTTGGTACTTCCCGGGCCGGTCCACCGCGGCCGGGGGTGGGGGGAACACTGAACAGCAGCGCCCCCCCGCGGCCGGCGTTGGTACTTCCCAGGCCGGTCCACCACGGCCGGGGGTTGGGGGAACGCTGAACAGAGCAGCCTGCGGAGGCGCCGGTCTCTAGGACCCCGCGGCTCTGCCGTCGGACTGCTGCGTTCCAGGAACAGGAAATCCGCCAAGTGGGCGGAGCCTAGAGGACGGGGCGGGACCAGCCGCGCCGCCACTGCGCACCCGCCTTCGGGGCAGCGTCCGGCGCGCCCAGGCCGGGGCTGCGGGGGCGGGGCCGCTGCGCGACCGAGGCCACGCCCCGCGCTGATTGGTCGAATCGCGGAGCGCTCCGCCCAGGGGCGGGGCTTCCTCGAGCAGCCCAGGCGACGAGCACACCTGGTTCCCCGCGCGGCCGCGCGGTTTGCAGCGAGGTGGCAGCTCCGGGGCCGCCAGTGTTCTCGCGACCGCGCGGGCGCTGCTTCCTGCTTCAAACTAGCCGAGCTGCTCCTTCGGCCGCGGCCCGGCAGCCCTTGCCCTTGGCGCTCAGCACGTCGGTTGTAACCCAGTACTTTTAAGAGTAAATTTATAAAAATTCTCTTGAAATGTTTATAGTAGAGTCTTACATTTTATGCGGGACCGCGCGTTTCAGTGGAGTCGAAACGGTGCCAGGAGCCAGCACCTCCCGCCCCGGCCGGGAGCCGGGGTCGCCTCCGCCCGGCCGGGGTCGCCTCCGCCCGGACACCGCCGCGCAGCCCAGAGGCGGCGGCGCCAGGGCCCCGGCCCTTGCTCAGGTCACCGGCACTCGTCTTCGCTAGTCTAAGAAAATGCTGATTTCAGTGGCTGCAGATAAAGGTGCCAGAGTTAAGTCGCCCCTGGGCCAGATGTTCCAGGAGAGGTCCGTGTGCATTTACCTGAATCGGCAGGAGCTGGAACTTCCTCCTTTGGCTGGATTCCAAGTGGAATTTTTGCGCGAAAGCGCATTGCCCGGCTGGGATTGTCCACACTTTCATCAGCTTTCCATGTCTGACTTTAAGCCTCTTTGCTAATTGGACTAAAAAGGGGATGTGTTAATGGTTTTTATTTTGAATGTCTTTGATTACGTGGGAGTTTGATCATTTATCATTTACTCATTAGCTATTTGTATTCTTCCTTGAATCATCAGTTTCTGCCCTTCGGCAATTTTTCTATTGGTGTTTTGTTTTTATTTATCTTACAAACACCAACCTGTGGTATTACTGCAAATATTTTCCTATTTTGCACTTAATCTTTTAGTTTTTGTGTATGATCTATGTAAATGAGCGTGCCTGTACATGCTGGGAAAAGACCCAGCCAGAAGCAGTCCTTGTTAAGGACACCCCCAGGCAAGCGCCCAGGCTCTGCCCCAGGGCCAGCACAGCCTGGGGCAGAACCCTCCCCTAGTCCCACCTCCTTCCCACCACTGGTGTCTGAAGACCATGAGGGCAGGCTCTGCCTTGGGGGAGGTGCCGTGGGAGGGCCAAGGGTGGGGCCTGTGTCTCCTACAGGTCTGGATGGAAGGAAAGTGTTCTGGCTTGCTTGCTCTGCCCTGCAGCCTTGTTCCGTCCCCAGGCCCAGGGGCTCCCCACTGGCCCTCACCAGGCGCAGTCCAAGTCTGGGCTCCAGCTGGGTGGGAGGGGGAGGCCTGCAGGCTCAGAGGGGATGAAGTTTCCTGGAGGACGTCAAGGACAGCAGGGAGGCGTGGACAGGGCCCCAGAGTGGAGTATCTGTGGTGGTCCAGGGGTGGGGAGGAGGCCTGGAGGGGCCCTGCCTGATAGGATGCCGGGATAGCTCAGACTTCTGGGAGGAAGGCAGGCAGGCGGCCAGTCAAGGCGATCAGGGCAGAGGTGAGAGAGAGGTCAGGTTTCAGGACTGGGCTCAAGAGGAATGAGGGCGTCGGTGCTCAGAGAACCTCAGGAGTCGGGGTTGCGAGGGCAGGGGTGCCTGGAGCCTGGCCCTGGTTGGTTGGTGGGTGCACCGAGAAGGGTCAAGGCAGATGAATTCCTGTCTGGAGTGGGCAGAACTTCAGACCTGGGCCAAGAGGCAGCCGCCCAGGATGGGGAGGCCAGTCTGGCCCTACGGGGACTAGCGCTGGCCTGCATGGCCCCCAGCGCCTGGGGTACTGCCTCTCCCCAGGGCTCACTCACCACATGTGTGTACCTGTGAGCGTGGTGCGAGTCTGTCTGTGCCGTGTGTGGCTGGACTCCTGTCAGCTCTGCACAGACCAGCCTGGTGCTGGAGCCTGCATCTTGGGCCTTCTCCACAGGAAACGGGGACCTGAGGACGGGTCACTCTGGCACCTGTGTCCTGCAGCGGCTCACACCGCAGACGGCCTCCTCTTGCCCCAGAAGGTGCTGGCAGCCTGTCCGTTCCGGGCCCTCTGGGAAGGACCCTGTGGAGGCCCGGCCGGGGAGGCTCGGGAGGACAGTGCCCAGCTGAGGTGTCCTCCCTGCGGTGGCTGCAGCTTCCCCCAGCCTGACTCTGCCCTCAGATCCTTAGTGTCTGCAGAGGCTGAAGACGGCCCAAGACATGGCCTGGATCTTTCTGGGGCAGAATGTGCTGGGAGTGGCTGAATTCCTCCACACGGTGACCAACCCGGGCCTGCCATGCTTCCGGGCCCCCAGCCAGACTCGCAGACTCCAGTTGCAGGCGCCGGAGCCTCCAGGCAGGACAGGCCTCCCACACCCAGGCTGTGCTGGGGGGCGGCCGCACAGGACACTGCTCCGAAGCTGGGCACTGCCACTTCACGCAGGTTTCCGAAGACTGACTGAGGCTGAGAATGCAGCAAGCACCACACGGCCCAAGGCCTGAGTCCACTCGCGACGCCCCACGGGGCTGGGGCTGGAGACATTGTGGGGTCTCTGGCCACAGCACCCTCAGGTCAGTGCTCCGAGGCCAGGAAGGCTGTGGCTCAGAGGTCTACAGCCTTCGCCCAGAGAGGGCAGACGGGGAGGAGCAGGTGCCTGGGGGCTGTTCCCCTTTCTGGGGGAGAGAGGAACAAAGGCCCAGAGCACCCAGGCCGCGGCCTGCAGCTGCCTCTGACCTAGATGGAGACGCCCAATGCCCTGGTCTCACACCCTTCCCAGGGCGTGGTGCAGCCTTGGCGGGCAGGTGGCTGTGGCTTGGTGGCCTCAGCCCTGCCCTCGGTGTTCACGTCCCCCTTCCTGCAGCTGCAGCAGCTGTGCCCAGACGCCATGCACTGTCCCTCCAGCGAGGACACCTGGCCAACCCCAGCTGATGGAACCTGGGGACAGGATGCAAGGCGGGCAGTGTCAGAAGGCGGTGGCCTTGCTGGTGGCCCCTGGAGACCCCCGTGCCCGGGGCCTGTGGGCTGGGCAGGGCAGAGAGAGCCAGAAGCAGCCATTACCGACCCGGCTTTTTGTACAAGTCTGTTTATTGAAAGGGTCTGAAAATAGTAATAAGGCCTTCAACATTTAACAAATTTTTAAGATATTAACAGTATGAAACATTAAGATTTACTTCAAAAATTCAAAGTTTTCTAGATCATTCTAATCTCATGCTGCTTTAGGACTTAACATTTGCTTTTCTGTTCAGGTGAGTGACTAGAATCCCAAGTGCCACTGTCTTCTGGCCTAAGGCTGGGGACACTGGCACCCCCCACCCCAGCCGGTGGGCGGAAGGCGGGGTCCCGTATCAAGAACAGACGCAGGACACACTGGGACCCTCCAGGCTCCAGATGGAGGCCCGAGACGCTCATGTTCTCAGCAGCCAGACGGCGTGAGCTGCACGTCATAAACACACCAGTCAAGGAAGCTGCACCCAGCAGTCTGGGAAGCACCGAGTGGGTGAAGGACAGAGGCGGGTCTGGGAAGGGGCGGCTCTGGTCCCTGCCCGTCCCTATCAACCGAATGGTGAAAGGGTGACTTTTGAGCAAAACCCAGAGAGCAGTTCCTCAAAAACAGACGCCTACACTCGGATGCCTGCTGGGAAATGACCAGGCGCCGCTCCCAGGTGGCGGCAACGGAGCTGTGACACCTGCTCGTGCTCCTGGGCCACCTGGAAGACCCGGACGTCTGTGTCCACGTTGTCACTGGCGACCAAGCCTCTCCCGGACAGCCCGGCTGCACTCTGCACAGAATGGTCCCCGAGGACGGTCGAGCAGAACAAACCTAACAGCAGCGGGACGATCCTCTTCCCCTTTCATTTTCGAAAAAGTGTGTACAAGAAAATATGTACATCAGCACTTCAGAATGTTTAAAAGAATCTCTGAAAAGTATATACAGGATTAAAATACCTTCCTGGGAGCTGAAGCTGCGTGAGGAATGTGTGTGGCCTGAGACGTCTGCCCCTGCCCGGCCGGCCGGGCCACGCTCGAGCCCTCTCCAGAGCCGCAGCGCAGCCGGCCTGCCGCAGCAAGACCCTCCCGTGGGCCTGGGAGCCTCCCCCAGAGCAGCTTTGGGGAAAGGTGCCCAAAGGCAGAAGCATCGCAGCTAAAGGAAGATTTCTGGCCGAGACATTTATTTTCAACATTAAAGGACAGATCAAGTCATTCTGACCCTCTGAATCTCAGTAGACTGATTTGTGGAATTTCCTGGCATGGAATTATTAATACAGAGCCGTGGGGCAGGCGGCCGGCTCCAGGACCAAGTGGGGGGTGGGACAGGAGTCCTCGTGGGCCTCCCACTTTGCCTCATTAGAAATGCAAAATAGAAGTCAGATTTAAAATGCTAAAAAACAGCTGATCAGGTCACAAAAGGCAGACCCAGGCTCTTCCCAACAGCAGACAGGCAGCAGCTTGTGACTGTTCACGACAGACAGACATGACTGTCCTCTCGCACACGCGCGCACACGCACACATTGGTCTGTCCCCAGAGGGCGAGCGGGAGGCAGGGAAGGAAAGTGAAGAGCCTGAGGGAGGCGGGATCGTGGGCCGGGTCTGGACAGGAGCACGGGCTAGCCCTCGCCCTCCTCTTCCTCCGGGAAGTGGGCCTGCTTCTTCCTCACGTTCCAGTGCAGACACTGGGCCAGGCTCTCGAACCAGTCGCTCACGGGGTCCCGCACGCAGATGGAGGGCAGCGGGTATCGAGAGGTAGTGATGCTGATGCTGCAGCCGGACAGGAAGCCGCACAGCCAGGTGAGCCCAGGGCACCCAACGCCGACCCGCCCAGCCCAGGCCACGATGCCCCCCAGGACCCAGTCTCAGGTCTGTGAACCCCGGGGGGCCAGGTGATGCTCCCCAAGCAGAACCAGGGGTACCTAGTGGGTGCTGGGGCAGCCACGAGCCCACTCCTCTGAGCCCGCCCCAGTGCTGGAGGGACGGTCCAGGAAACAGACAAACTTTGCCTGGGGCTCTGCGAGCTGCAGGATCCACCACCAGGCACAGCGCACCTCGGGCAGCTGGGCGCCGGGGTGATGCCGCGGGCCTGGGTCCCCAACTGTGCTGCAACACGTGGGGATGCGCCCCCGCCCCTGCTCAGGCCTCTGTCACTACCGGGGACCACATTTTGCCCACAGTGGGCCCCACCTGACCCGGGGTCCAGGCAGCAGGAGTACCCAGCTCGGCCGCAGCCCGCACCTGTCTCCGTGGCGGATCTCCTGTCTCTTCCGTCCATCAAAGGACACCCACGCAGTGTTCCTTGCTTCGGGTGACAGCATGATCTGAGGATTCAAGCAGGGACAGGTGTGGGCTGGGGAGGGTGCTCCTCGGGGAACTGTGGGTGCTCACCGGAGGCCCTGCCCTCGCCCAGCTCATGGAGCCAGCAAAGACTAAGCATGGGCGGGCAGCCCCTTCTGACCTGGGCCCGGCCCCCAGCCAGCAGATCTCAGGCTCCCGGCAAGGAGGGCTCAAGTCCTGGGGTGCAGGGAGATGGCTCAGGACCGAGCCGCGTCTGAGGCTGGAGCCAGCGGGCCAGCACCACGGGGCCGAGCCTGGGTCCCAGCCTTTCCCTGGCGCAGGGTCCGACACTCACAGACCAGGAGGGGTGGGGAGGGGCTGGCTCTGACCTTCAGCTCCACCCCTGCGGGGACCACGATGGGCCGGAAGGACAGCGAGTGGGGGCAGATGGGCGTGATCATGATGGCCGGCACGTTGGGGTGGATCATGGAGGCCCCGGCCGCGGCTGCGTACGCAGTGCTGCCCGTCGGGGTGGACACGATCACTCCTGGCGGGGACAGGGCGCAGGCGTCACTCCCGCCGAGAGGGGCGCTCAGGGCCCCAGGGCAGGTCTCGGGCCTTACCGTCGCCCTGCACCGTGGTGATGAGGTGTCCATCCAGGTAGACGTCCACGTTGGACAGGTATGAGGAGGGCCCTCTGTCGATCACCACCTCGTTCAGGACCTGGAAGGGTGGCCAGGGTCTCGGACTGTCCTGGGCACCCAGCGCCTGCATCTGCCCCGGCTCTCTGCAAGGGCCTCGTCCTGAGGTTGCCGGGGCTCCCGCACAGGGTCCAGCCCCAGGTGCCTGCCCTGGCCCCAGAGGGCCGGCGAGTCCACCCACCTGGTACTGCATGACCTGCTTCCCGCCGTCCGCCTGGCCTGGGGCTGGAGCTCCGTTCTCGCTGAGCCCGTTGGGGACGGGCACCTTCCTCCCACGGGGCTCCTTCACCACCCGGACCTTCAGCCGGCTCCGAAGGACAACAGCTGCGTTCCCTGGGGCAGTGGGGGTCAGAGGGCACATCTCAGGGCGGTCAGTGGGGTCAGGAGCCCTCTCCTCCCAAGTGGAAAGCAACACTTCTGTGCCTTTTATGCAGATCAGTCCACCCCCACCAACAAAACCCACAGCTTCAACTAATGTCAGTAAAAAATGTTTGAACCATTCAAGATTTAATCTTGAGACTTTCAAATGTTGCTTTATGCATCGTTGAATAAAACAACAATCCCATGTTCAGAGCTACTTGTGGGTTCTAGAACATTCCAACTCACCCTCTATCACCTGGGTGACTTGGGACTGAAAGTTCTCGAAGTTGAACGGTGTCAGGAAGCCCAGGGAGCCCAGGTGGAAAGCCATGACTGGAGGCACGCTGCCCTGCAGGCCGACGGAGGTCACTCAGCACCCACTGTCCCCAAGTCCACCCACGCCGTCAACAGCACCAGGCCCTCAGGGGGGCTACCCACGAGGACTCAGCTCTGCGGCGTCCCTGGCTCCCCCAGGAGGGCCGCACAGGCCGCAAGCAGTCAGTGTCAGGCGGGGCCGTCGTGGCCCCACCCAGAGCTGGGGACCCCGAATGCAGAGAGTGGGCCGGCAGGCCAGTGGGAGAGGTCACGAGAAACAAGCAGTGGGGCTGACCCGCTGGTCACCTCGGACAGGAAAGAGCGGGGGGTGCAGGCTGGGGGCGACCTCCATGGCCAGAGCCCCTCACCCAGCAGCAGAGGGCAGGCTGGGGCAGTGCAGTGGCACCTGCTCCCGGTGGGCAGGGAGCAGAGTCGGGGCCCTGTAAGGCGGCTCTGCCAAGGAGAGAGGAAAAGGAGCCTGGAGGGAGGCACAGGGGCTGGGCTCGTGTGGGGACCGTTCCCCTCTGGGACCCGCCGCCCAGCACCTCTCACTCTCCGCCGAGGTGGCTCCTGGTAGCCCCAGGCAGTGCTGCCCAGGGGCCACACCCTCAGCTGCCCGGCGCCTCCACCCTGAACTCTAATGTGGCCGGGCTGGGGCCACCTCGCAGCTCGAGTGGCCACCCAGGGTCCAGGGCGGGGCTCCCTGTGCCCAACTCAGCCACACGGCACCAGCGCTGGGGACATCCTCTGTCTGTGGGGCTGCAGCCACCCAGCCTGTCACAGCCACCCAGCCTGTCACAGCCACACTAGCATCACGTGCAGACTTACTCTGCTGCTAAATAACTGAACTGAAAACATCAGCCTGAATCAGAATGAGACGCCAAGAAACTCCTCGCCCCTCCGGTACAGAGCTCCACAGTGAAGAGCAGGAACGACACCCACCCCCGAACACGTCTCCTCGCCCTTCTCGAGTCTCACCGGGAAAAGTGAGGAGGCGTACAGCAGGGTCCCGTCCCCCCCCAGGCAGATGATGAAGTCTATCTGATTAGAAATGTCGTCGTAATCTGCAAAACACAAAGACAAAACCAAGAAAAAGCCGTCACACGGCAGCCCCTCCACACCACAGTGCACAGAGGGCAAGGGCAGGAATGCTAGAAGCTTCCACCAGGGACAGGGAGCTACGCCTAATAAACCAGCAGAACTGAATTTGATAACTCACCTTCTCGGAAAGTGCAGAATTTCTTCTTTACGGCCCCAAAGTTTTCATCACTCACGATGGCAGGGTCTTCTAGCACTTTCTTTTCCACATACACGACCATGTTGTTCTCCTGAAATCAGGTGCACGTGTATGAGCCCTGGGGAACCAGGCAGGCCTGCCAATTCTCACTCTGGAGCACGCTGGTCTTTGAAAAAGCTCCTTTTAGGCCTTCGCATTTAGGGAAAGAAGTGAAAAATGACATTTTCCTGGCCAGGAGATCAGAGCCAATCTGCTCACTTCACTGCCGTTCCCGCCCTGCCGGGGACTCTGGGGGCCTGGCTGCCGGGCGGAGGTCTCTCTGCTGTGGGCGCCGACTCAGGCTCTGCAGTGAGACCTGGTCTAAAGGTCCCTCCCTCCTGAAGTCCCAGTGGAACTGCATCACCAGCGTGACAGGACTAAGAGCTGGGACTTAATCCTGAGGGTCCCCCAGATGTTGTTATCTCCGGAGTGGCTCCCGCCACTCTCCCACGGAGGAGACGCAGCCAGAGGCCTCACTAGGTGTGGCCCTTTGGCCTTGGACATCCTGGCAAGTCACTGGTCTGTGGTTCCAGCAGCACAAGCGGACGAGGTCACTAGCAGACTCAGGCTCCGTCCCGCCTCCACCCAGCACAGCGCTGAGGGCACGCCCCGCCCCACCCTGCCCGGCCCAGGCCGCCTTGCCTCCATGAGGTACGTGCACAGCTCCTTGAATGGCTGCAGCAGCCCGGCGTCACGGACCTTCTTGACGACCAGGACGCTCTTGGGGGCCTTGTTCCACGTCAGCCGCTGGCTCGCGGGGTCCTGGATGTGCCTTGCAGGGAGGAGAGAAGAGTTCACACCAGCAGTGAGTGACCTTTCCCTTAAAAAAGGCAAAGAACTTAGAAGAGAAAAATAAAATCCTTAAAAATGTGTGTCTGGCCCTGGACACCCAGCAGTGGTCACTGTGGGGACTGAGCTGGGACTGGCGGTCCCTGCCAGCTGGCACGGGGCCCCAGGGCCACGGCAAGCCCCGTCATGGGCCAGTGGGCTCTACGGTGTCAGTGAGGACTGGTCTCTCAGCTGCTCAGGACACCTCGCTGAGCTGCAGCGCTGGCCCCCGACGGCTCCTTCGCACTGAGAGCTCACAGGGCTGCCCAAGACACCCAAGGCCGGGCACCCACGCCCGTCAAGTATGCCACACTCCCCACGAAACCCCACCAGCCAACTCGGGGGCTCTGCCCCCACGACCCAGCCCAGACGGCCTCTGTTCCCACGTGACGCAGGGCCCCTCAGGACCAGCACTTCCCGCCTTGCATACGGGCCGTGTGCCGCTCACACAAGGGCATCCCTGTGTGGGCACGGTTGCCCTTGATTGTCACGGTAAAAACTGTAGCCTAAAAGCCACCAACAGCCACTCTGCAACTGCAAGGCCCCCCAAGGAGGTCACGGCACTAGGCAGGCTCAGACCCTCTGCTGTGCCGCTGGCACCGTGCCCGGGGCCGGGTGTTTCTCCAAAGGCAGGGCCCACCCAGCTGGGATTCCTATTTCTCCACAGTCATGAAAAACAGCCCAGCCGCAGAACCTCCCGGAACAGGCTCTGGGCAGCCTGGGGAGGGCGGTCGGCCGCCCTCAGCCCTCTGGGAGAGCCCTTAAAGCTGCAGCGCACGCAGTGGGTGCAAGTTCCCAGTTGAGAAACTGGCCGCAAGTCAGGCATCGCGGGGCAGGGACTTCCCTGAGAACCAACAGGCCCACCGGCAACTTCCGAACCGCGGTGAAGCTGCCGACACGGCAGCGGAGCATCCAGCCTTGCCCAGCACTAACCTCCACGGATGCAGTCCCCGCACTCGTCCTTTCCAGGCATATCTGGGAGGCAAGGGGTCACCCATGACACCCCGTGAGCTCGCCTGCACCTCCTGGAGACAGCTGGTGTGCCCAGACTGTGGTCATGTCCACTAGTGACGGGAGCGCACGGCGGCCCTGTCCACCAGCACTTCCCACTGTGCGTTTATGCTATAACCCTGATTTTTGCACCCTCAAAACTGAAAGCAAAACATAATTGTAGAGCCACTTGTTAACAGTGTTACGAAAGCAACTTGGTCAAAAGAGCTTCCTAAAATTACAAAAACCTAACACGACAGAACAGTGACCACTTTCAACATCAAGGAAGCCAAACTTCAACCCCTGCTTGTCGCTGAACTTGCTGGGCCCTGGCCATCCAGCCCCCGCCAGCCGCTGCTCTGGCCTGTGGAACCAGCCTGGCCCCGTGGGAGGTGCTCTCAGGCCACAGCCAGGTGGGGTGTTCACTCCCTCGCCACTCTGCCTGACTACAGGCCGTGAGGGCGTGCAGGAGGCCTGTAGCCCTCTGGCCGGGTCAGATAGCAAAGCGCTGCCCTGCACACACTCACCCTGGCTCCCGAGAGTCGCTGCTGATGGGCCCCGAGGCTCAGTTGTGCCTGCCAGGGCCACCAGGGTGCCGGCCTGTGCAGGCCTGGGCAGCAACCCGAGTGACCACAAACCCGTTCCTCAACTTCCTGTTAGGTCACCTGCTGAGCTGGACGATGCCCCTCCCAAGCTCATGGCTGTGGGTACCAGACGCCCAGCCTACCTGGGACAGCTCTGAGGGAGACCCCATGGGCCATGCCAGGGACGCCCAGCGGCCAAGCAGGTCACCACATGGGCGTCAGAGCTGGCAATTTCCTCACATCTCAACTAACAAAAAATATATGTTCACAATAAAATATCAGACAGTAAAGCAGGAAGTAACAGTTCTCCGTGTTCAACCCCTCTAGAGTATTTTACTTAAGAGTATCAAGGAAAAGGCAGATTAAACGCACAGGAACACTTTGGGAGGCCGAGGCGGGTGGATTGCTCAAGGTCAGGAGTTTGAAACCAGCCTGAGTGAGACCTCGTCTCTACCAAAAATAGAAAGAAATTAATTGACCAACTAAAAATATATATACAAAAAATTAGCCGGGCATGGTGGCGCATGCCTGTAGTCCCAGCTACTCGGGAGGCTGAGGCAGGAGGATCGCTGAGCCCAGAAGATTGAGGTTGCTGTGAGCTAGGCTGACGCCGTAGCATTCACTCTAGCCTGGGCAATAAAGCAAGACTCTGTCTCAAAACAAACACACACACAGGAAGCCCCTGCCCCGACCATAGGAGGCCCTGGGGAGGGACACATATTGGAGTGGATGACAGAGTCCTGCCCCCATGTTACGTCCCTGAGACTAGAGCTCCCTGAAGCAGGGGCTGGGAAGGCTGCCCTCCCTCCACGCCGCCACCGGCCTCACCGTGCTCCTGCTGCGGCTGTCTGACCTCGGGGAGCAGCGCCGAGGCCGTCCTCTGGCCCAGCCCGAGGGGTGCAGCGTAGCACACACATCCCCCGAACACGGTCCTGGGTCTGGCCCCCCGGAACTGACGGCCACTCAAGGTGGCACCTAAGCAAGATGTGTCGAGGGAGCAGCTCTGCCAAGACCAGGAAGTGGAGGGCGGGGCCAGGCTGCCAGGGAAAAGCCCAGGTGGGGCGTGGGGCACAGATGCAGGAAGGCGGGGGACACAGGGAAGGCGGGGGCTGGTCACCAGGAGGGGCTGGGAGAGGCAGAGGGACCCACAGGGCTGCTGTGCAGAAGCCATGGGGGGGGGTCGGGAATCTGCTGGGGGGGCAGCCTGGTCACAGAATAACTGCTTGGGTGGATGTTTTGGGGTCAAACTGATGAAATCTGTGGAGGGACTAGATGGGTCCCGCCCCATTTGGCAGCTCTAACTAGACAGACCCGGAGCTCCTGGAACCAGTAGGCACGGGGCAGGTTTTGCCTCAAAACCACAAGGCCAGAGTCCTAAAGGGGGAAGCAGAGCCCAACACCTGCTGCCCTGGGGCATAGCAAAGCAGGTCCCCAGACAACCCCAGGTGGTAGAACAGGTCCCACTGCTGTCCCTGAACCTGCCCTCCAGCAAGGGCCCACTGCCACGGATGGTACCGGGACAGTGCCTGCCGTCAAAGGAAGAGCAGTAAGACGGCCTTTTCCATTTTATTTGCAAGTTATTCTTCCCACCTGACAATCACAACACCACCCCCCCCAAGTCACTGACGCCCCCTTGAGAACCACACCCAAGTGCATGGCACGTGCATGGGATCTGTCCTTCGCAGAGCTGGGATGTCCAGGACTGACGGAGGTCCTGGGTGGGGTGTTCCGCACGGAGGCCCTCAGGGGACACACCCACCCCCGATGCACACAGAGCAGAGAGGCCTCTGCAGCAGGGCGACCAGGACACTCACAGGTGCAGAATGAAACTCTCAGAGCTGAGGTGAATTCTGAGTTTTTAAACACAGAGCACCAATGTTAGGTCATTGCAGTGTTTTCCCCGTGAAACACAACATGTCAACGAAGTATTTACCCTTTTGGAGCCATCAAATGCTAAAAAGAACTTGGACTGATGGAGGGTTATTAAGGATCAAGAGTTCAGTGAAATAAGCTGTTGAGTTTTAGAGAGTTCTAGCACCTCCATGGTAACACTCCCACGAAAGACTCTGAGGCCAGATGAGGGGCCACAGAAATGCCACCTCCTCAGGTGCCCCGAGAAAGCAGCACCACAAGGACAAGTATCTTGCAAACAAGGAAAATCAGATCTTAAAAAAAGCTGATTCATGTTTCTGTCTTTGGAATAATTAAAGGAGAAACACATTTGATCCTCCAAGTGTATGACAGTGGAGCCGTTTCCTCCAGAGCTGTCATGTCGGAAATGGCAGCTGTCCGTATTTCACATCCACAGGCACCCAACACTGCCACGTCCGAGGCACAGACCTGGGGCGATTGCTGTGACAGTCTCCAGGCCACCTGGCATCCTCTGGCCACGGCCCCAGCTTGTCTGCCATCCACTCACTCGAACGCCCTGGAGAAGCCCAGATGGACCGTGGAGGCCCCGCCCAGCCAGGCCCAGTGAAGAAGCCCACGTGTGGTTTTAGTTTGTCTGTTTTTTTTTTTTGCTTTGTTGTTCAGGCTAGAGTGAGTGCCGTGGCGTCAGCCTAGCTCACAGCAACCTCAAACTCCTGGGCTCGAGGGATCCTTCTGCCTCAGCCTCCCAAGTAGCTGGGACTACAGGCATGCGCCACCATGCCCGGCTAATTTTTTTATATATATATCAGTTGGCCAATTAATTTCTTTCTATTTATAGTAGAGACGGGGTCTCGCTCTTGCTCAGGCTGGTTTTAAACTCCTGACCTTGAGCAATCCGCCTGCCTCGGTCTCCCAGAGAGCTAGGCGTGAGCCACCTCGCCCGCCAGTTTGTTTTTATTTTAGTGTATTATGGGGGTACAAGTGTTAAGGTTACCTATATTGCCCATGTCCCTTATTTGTTTTTTTGAGACAGAGTTTTGCTCTGTCACCTGGGCTAGAGTGCTGTGCCATCATCACAGCTCACTGCAGCCGTATGCTCCTGGAGCGATCCCCCGCCTCAGCCTCCTGAGTAGCTGGGACTACAGGCATGCGCCACAACGTCCGGTTGAATTTTCTATTTTTAGTAGAGATGGGGTCTTGCTCTTGCCCAGGCTGGTCTCAAACTGCTGACCTCAAGCAATCCTCCCGCCTCGGCCTCCCAGAGTGCTGGGATTACAGGCGTGAGCCACCGTGCCTGGCCCCATGTGGCTTTTTGTTGAAATGACTTAGAACACACACTCCCCGCCCCGAGTGCAAGAGCCTTTCTCAGCAGCTCAGCCACCGCCCAACTCCACCTGGGCCCTGCCCACTGTGGCCCCGCACTTACATGATGGTCTGGGGATTCTGCAGCACACAGGCCTTTGGTCCAAACGTGGTCACCGGGCAGGGCCCGTGGAGAGAGCGCGTCCTCCTGTGGGCAGAAGACACAGAGCTGTCAGGGTCGAAAAACACACGCAGTGACAGACACAGACAGATTGCGCCAGCCTCCAAGAGACGCGTGCAACTCAAGTGGCGCCAATGCCACGCTTGCCCAGCAGCCACACAGTCCCAGAAGGCTGCCCTGGTCTGCACCGCCACACTGGAGCCCCACACGCCGCCCGACTGTCTCTCAATGGCGAGCAGGCACTGAAGCACACCCGCTGGACGCGCGCCTGAGACCTGCTGGACACGTGGTCCGCGCCAGTGAGCGCTACAGCCCAGACAGGTGAAACGCAACCTCGAGGTGGGGAGGCCTGAGAATCCGAATTCCCGCGGATCCTGTCCCAAGTCTCTCAGACCAGCCTCTGGGTCTGTGTGTGGGGATCGAGACCTTAGAAACCCTCTCTAAATAATCCAGAATAAATTCTAACAAAAACGTTCACTCTGAACTACATGCATTAATAGAAAAGACACTGGCTGAACAGCCTACTTTTCCAATAATTTACGGGTAACCCAGCCATAGGTGAGTCACCCACCAGGCAGCCAGCACGCACTGGGAGACACACAGGCCGCCCCCCACCCCCTCCCCGTCAGCAGCGGGCTGAGGCAGCACGACTGCCCTGTTCCCTGTGCTGGGACGTCACCGCGACACAGGACGTCAGCCCAGGCCCTGGCCACCCCGAGCCTCGCAGTCTTTTTGTGCATCCAAAACACTGTCGAGCGGCCAGTCCAGTGAGGGCTGCACGCGCGCCTCCATCACTCACTGCCCGGCTCACGGCTCAACAAACTCTTCAAATCCCAACGCAGCTAAAAGATCTTCTGCTATCTCATAAGTGCTTGGCAACCTGCAGGAGAGTCTGGGTCTTCTAAAAATTATAAAGCGTATAACAAAATAAGAGCTCTAGTTAGGAACTTGGATGAAACAGAAATGGTGCGTTATGCCAGAAAACCCACAGAAACCAAAACACGGAAGCAATCCTGTCATGGCAGTGTCCTCAGGAGTGACAACATACTCGAGACCAGGTGCTGGGCCGCCACCGCCCACGCAGAGCAGGGTGTCCCTGGCCAGCCGCCGCCACCCACAGAGCCATCAGCGGCCCCTCGCTCCCTCTGCTGCCCACCGAGTCAGAGGCTCTGTGGGTTTTTCCATCCCACTTGACAAGACCACTTGATTTTTAAAACTACTTTTCACCAAAAGCCAAAAGAATGAAACCCTCTAGTTGTATAGATGTGCCCCTTGCGTCAGAGGCAATGCCAGCCTCTGGCAAACTCCCTCCTAAAACTCACCACATTGTCACCAGAAAGGAGAGCGGATCCCCGGGTGCGCTGCAGCTCCGTGCCTGCCTGCTGGCCTCCATGCCGGCTCCGAGGGCGCTTGCTCAAGCCACGTTGTGCAAGGGCAGGCGTGGCGGGCGTGCTGGGAGAGGCCAAGGGGACGGCTGCTCCACGCCACAGCGCTGGGCCCGCCTCTGCGGCCACACTCCGGCCTCTGCCTCCACAAGCCCCGGCTCCCACAGCGAGCAGGACCCAGGGGTGACGTCCCCGCGCGCCCTGGTGACCTCTGCAGAGCACACGAGTCTCCTCACCACATGCACTTTCGCCCGATGCCGACGGTCAGCGTGGGCCGTGCCCAGGGGCTCTGTGCTGCCACAGGCGGATGAAGAAACGTGGGGCACGGCCCTGACTTGGGACACGCCATCTGGGAACGTGGCCCAGGCAAGTGTCCGAAGGCCACGCTCACCCCTCCCCTCAGGACACAGCTGCCCTTGTGCAACCGCCAGCCCCGCCCTCTGGACAGAGCGGGACGGCACCGGCCGATACTTGCAGCACCGACATCCCTTACAGAGTTCTCCGTGATGGCTCGGTAAGTCACATCGTGGAACCAGAG